CCACTGCGACCACTCCTACTTTCATTATTACTCTTACTAGTTTTACTATCCATACCTTCACCACTACTACTAATATTGTTATTACTACCACCACTGCTACTTATACTAGTAGTACTACTAATACATATTTTAGCCGTTCCTACTATTGCTGCCAATGGCACTGGTAATCATGTTGGCAACGCGAGAAATATTTGTACCAACCGTCCTGATAACACTTATATGACTCTTTGTAGTCATACTAATATTACAACCAATATTAACCCTACTACGAATTCTAATACCGATTCGAATACGATTACTAATGCGTATACTGGTAGAGTAACACTACTACTACGAACCCTCATACGAATTCTAACATTTTAACAACAACTGGGCCGTCTTGGGGTACCAGAGGTCGATCTTGGAGGTTTACTGGGCCGTTGTGGGCCTCGTGGAAACCCAAGAAGCGAATATGCTGAAAATGTACGTTTTCCCAAGGGAATGGGACGGTTTTTGCCTTTGGAGGTCTGCTTGGGGCGCCTCGTGGGCGCGTATGCAAACGTCTTGGACGCCCATGGGACTGTCTGAAGGCAATTTTGGGCGGTTTGGACCGAAACGTCCCCCGCGTGGGCCGTCCGGATAGCCTTTGGGAGCCCTCTTGGCCCGTTTTGGAGCCCTCTTGGGACCGTCCTGCGGCTTTCCTGAGCCGTTGCTATGGTTTCTGGAGCCTTCGTGGATCGCTCGGAAGCCGTCTTGGAGCCTTCTTGGGAGCCTCTTCGGGTGACAGGGGTCGATCTCGGAGGTTTATTTGGCCGTTGTGGGCCTCGTGAAAGCTCGAGAAGCGAATGTGCTGAAAATGTAGGTTTTCCCCACGGGATGGAACGGTTTTTGCTTTTGGAGGCCTTCTTGGAGCGCCTCGTGGTCGGGGCCGTCTGGCGGCGATCTTGGGCGGCTTGGACCGAATCGTCCCCACCGTGGGCCGTCCGGACAGCCTTTGGGGGCCCTCTTGCCCCGTTTTGGAGCCCTCTTGGGACCGTCCTGCGGCTTTCCTTAGCCGTTGCTATGATTTCTGTTGGAGCCTTTTTGGGGGCCTCTTGGGCTGTCGAGGGTCGATCTTGGAGGCTTCTTGGGCCGTTTTACGCCGCGTGGAAGCCGAACGGGCGAATGTGATGAAGATGTAGGTTTCCCCTAGGAAATTGGATTATTTTTGCTTCTGGAGGGCATTTTGGGGCGCCTCGTAATTTTGTTTCAAACGTCTTGGGGACTTATAGAGCCGTGGGGAGGCAATCTTCGGCGTTTTGGGGCGATCTTTCGTCGATTTGTAGCTCTCTTGGACCGTTCCGGGAAACTTTGGAACCTTTTTTGGCTTGTTTTAGGGCCTCTTGAGGCTCCAAGTGTGCGGATGATGGATTTGCCCCCCCCCCCCCCCTCTCCAAACTGGCCGGACCAGGCCCCCGGGGGAGGGGTTTGGGGAGGGGGAAGCATCTCACACGCCGTGACCCCAAGGGGTCGGCGGATTATACGTAGTAAGAGACAATATAGATCACAGTAAAAACCGTAGTGACAACTTGATCATACTAATACAATGTTTAGTGTCAGTATTAACACTAAACACTAAACATAGTAATATTATGATTATTTGTATGGGCCCTCTTGGGGCCTCCTGGGGTCTTCCTGGCAGCCTCCTGGAGGCCTCTGAAGGGCTTCTAGGGGGCCTCCTGGTGTTTCCCGGGAGCATCCTGGGGCCTCTTGGGGGCCTCTCGGGGGCTTCTTGGGGCCTCTCGGCGACATCGTGGTCTTCGGAGGCTGTCTTGGGGCCCTCTCTGGGCTGTCGTGGGTCCCTCTTAGGGCACTCTAGGGCCGTCTTGGAGGCTTATGGGGCCGTCTTAGGGCCGTCTTGGCGGCTTCTTGGTCCGTCTTGGGGCCCTCGTGGGCCGTCTTGCGGGTCTCTTGGGGGCCTCTTGGGCCGTGTTGGGGCGACCTCCGAAAAGGCGAGAACGCTAAAATCATTGAACCATTTAGGACAATCAGTGATTTTGGCATCTGGAGATCCTCTTGGAGACCTTGGGGCGTCTCAGTGGCCTCTTGGGCCGTCTGGAGGAATCTTGGGCCGCCTTGGGGCCATGTTGGCCATCTTGGAAGCGTCCTGGGGATTATCTTGGAGACCATCTTGGCAGTGTTGAGGCATCTTGGTGGCCATCTTGGGCGTCTTGGAGGCGTCGCTTTGCCTCCCACCTTTTGGGAACTCTTCGGGTGGCCAGCGCGATAGGCCGAGACCCCACTAGGAACCTTGAAAAAGGACCACAATTGCCTAAAGTCTGCCACACCGTGTACCCCTGTGGCAAGCCACAGGGGACGGCGGATCGAAGACGCCTGCGGTGAATCACCGCCGCCCCCTGCCTTTTGGAACTTGGTCAAGCTATCGGGCTACATGTTCCCCCAGCCGTTGTGGAATTTGGAGAACATAGGGCCCAAGGTGGGGGAGAACGAAGAAGAGGAGCACAAATAGGGTAATACGAGGAGGAACCAAGAGGAGGAAAACGAGGAGTAAAAAAGAGGAGGAGGAGGAGGCGGAGGCGGAGGCGGAGGAGGAGGAGGAGGAGGAGGAGGAAGACAAATAATAATAAGAGTATTATTAGTATCATCAGTAGTAAGAGAATGGTAAGACGGGTAACCATAAAACATAATAGCAATCAGAGTAATCATAATACTAAGAAGAATAATACTACTAAGAAGAATAAGAAGACGACGAATAATAAACATCAACGTACTAATACTAATATTAATAAACATAATAAGCATAACACTGCTAATAATACTAAGCACCATATTCATAATACTAAGAATAAGAATACTAGTACTAAGAAGAAGACGATCAAACATACTAATAGTAAGACGAATGCTAAGACTAATTCGGATACGATTAATAGTAATAGTAATATGGATAAGAAGGATAATGATAATAAACATAATATTAATAAAAAAGAAGAAGAATGCGAATCATAATAATAAGAAGAAGAGGAGGACGAGGAGGAGGAGGAGGAGGAGAAGGAGGAGGAGGAGGAGGAAGAGGAGAAGGAGGAGGAGGAGAAGGAGGAGAGTTCTATCTGAACCGAGTGTGACCTGCGCCCCAGCCACGAGCCCCACCTACAGTCCGTTAAACATTTGACTCGCAAAACATTAATCTAATTGTAGGGACCTTTGGCCGTCCTGGAACGATCTTGGGGGCTCCTCGGGCCGCTTGGACGCTCTCCAAACCAACAGGGTGAATAAGCTAAAGATGTAAGTATTCCAGAGGATTCGGAGCGATTCTGGTCTTTTGGAGCTCTCTTGGGGGTCTTCTTGGAGCTGTCTGGGGGCGTCGTGGAGGCTTCTTGGGCCGTGTTGAGGCTATCCGGATTATTTTTGAGGCCTCCTTAGCGTGTTGGAGCCCAGCTTGAGCAATCTTGAACGAAGTCTTGGGCATCTTGGAGGCCACGGAGTGTAGAAATGGAGGCTCAGGAGGCCCTGGGGGAGAGTTGAGGAGCCCGGGGAGCCCCCCCTCCCCCGGCCCTCCCCCCTCTCATCGGATTTTCACGCCCAAGGGGAGGGGGAAAGGAGGAGGAGGACAGCCAATCATCTCACATGCCTTCGCACCCCTGGCAAGCGGGGGTCGGCGGATGTTTCCTCTGGCGATGCCATTGCATTGCGTCGGTGCGCAGCCTATCAGATCGATCGGCGATGCTATCTTTTTTGACTTGTTCCGTCTCACTTCCGCTTCGTACCACACTTGCTCTGTTCCCTGGTGATGCCATTGCACTGCGTCGCTGCATAGGCTATCAGATCGATCGGCGCTGCTGACTCCTTCATTTGTATTATCCCTCTTCTGCTTCGCACCACACGTTCCCTTTTCTCTCGCGATGCCATTGCACCGGGTCGGCACACAGCCTATCATATCGAACGGCGATGCTGTCTCTTTCATATGCTTCGAACCACACGTTCCCTTTACCCTGGCGACGCCATTACACTGCGTCGGTGCACAGTCTATCAGATCGATCGGCCATGCTGTCTCTTTCATCCGTATTGTTCCACTTCTGCTTCGCACTACACGTTTCCTTTATCCTGGCGAAGTCATTGCACTGCGTCGGTGCACAGGCTATCATATTGATCGGCTATGCTGTCGCTTTCATCTGTATTGTCCCATTTCTGCTTCGCTCCGTATGTGCCCTTCCCCTGGCCATGCCATTGCCGTGCGTCGGTGCGTAGCCTATCAGATCGATCGGCGATTCTTGCTCTTCCATCTGTATTGTCCCACCTCTTACTCGCACCACACGTTCCCTCTTCCCTGGCAATGCCATCGCACTGCGTTGGTGCACAGATCTTCGAATCGATTGGCGATGCTGTCTCCTCTATCTGCATTGTCCCACTTCTGCTTCGTACCACGCTTTCCCTTCCTCCTTGCGATGCCGTCGCTCCTGCGTCGGTGCACAGATATTCGGATCGATTGGCGATGCCGTCTTCACATGTCCATAAGTCTGCATCGCATTGCCCGTTCCCCTCCCTCTGGCGGTGCCATCGCATGGACGCGCGGTGCGGCCAGCCGTGGCTCCTCCAGCACGTCAGAGAGCGGGGCGCCTGCTCCACGAGGCAGTTTGCTGCTCCACAGTTGAATCGTTGAATCATGTCGTCCGCTCCCATCTTGCCCCCTCCCCCCAGCAAAACAACTCCAAGAAGTTATTTTACTGTACGGGGCGGCTCCACAGTTGAATTATGTCGTCCGCTCCAATCTTTCCCCTCCCCCCAGCAAAACAACTCCACGAAGTTGTTTCCCTTACGGGGCGCACATCTCATCTTTAGGCTTCGGAGTTTTGTCTTTGTGGGGCAGCCGCAGCGTGTGGCCTCATTTTGCGTCACCCTGCCTCCCCTCCTGCTTCTCTCTTTGCTGCCCTCGGCCTCTCGAGAGTCCCGCTGCGTTGCCCGAAGACCGCTGTGCAGAGTTCAGCTCGTCGCTTGATCGGCCCGTCGCCAGTGTCTTCCCAGAGGAGAACCCGAAGAAGTCCGGCGGCAAGTCGTACGAACGGTACGAGAGGTACAAGGTGGCGCGCACCATCGGACAGGCTCGGTCGGGCATGTAAGCGAGAAGATGCTGAGGTGGAGGAATCAGGAGAACGGGCATAAGGAGAAGCACGGAGGGGGCGTTATGATGAAACGCGCATAAGGAGAAGCATGAGGGGGGTTTCATGATCAGGGGGCAAACCGTTGGCAAGAGGGTGAACCACTGAGACTATGCGCGCAGGATGGGATGAACGCGTGCGTAAGACTGAAAGAACATGCGGGCGGATCTCGGCACAACGAGGTATCCACGAGCCGTCATAAAGCTCGGCGCAATATGGGTCGACATCAACGGGTGTTTACATGCATGCCCATGCACACATATATCTGGGCACACGAGCATGGTGCCCAGCCCCATCCAGCCTCCTCGGACTCCGAGGGGGAGCCCCGACGGCGGCAAGGCCCCCCCTAGCTGGAAAGATGAGCCATGACAACGTCGAAACCGCAAAAAGCTCCTGCGAGAACCCCAGAGGTATCTTCCTCAGGCAGGCCTATGATGAAGATAAGTCGCTCCACAGCCTTCCAGAACGGTCTCAGAGCGTTCCAGAGCGCTCTGAAACGGCCGCGGTTCCCGATACATCTTTTAGATCCGCCAGACCTCGGATATTCCCGATTCATCTCCATCCGAATTCATCTTCATGCTGGCTTTGTCTTCCTCCCAGGAGGCTCCGGAGAGGCCAAATGCATCGAACCAAGATGCGAGTTATTTCTAGTATTATTGAACTGCCGCCCTCGAGTCATTTGGTCGGCTTCCGGGTCGCCCTGGGCGCCGCCCCAACGGCCCACAATGGTTCCAATCTTGGGCCAAATACGCCCAACACCTCCCCAAGATAGGTCTCAAACGCCCCCAGATCCGCTACCTTCCAAGACGACATGAATACACCCTCAAATGCCGTCAGAAGACGCCCCCGACGACGTAAATACCTTCTTGAGGGTCCCAAGACCCCCCTTTATCAGGCCCACGAGGACTCCCACGAGACCTCCAGGATGCCCAGGCAAGTCCCCCGAATAGCATCCTCCTCCTTCCCCTTTTTTTTCCCAACCTCCCTGTGGTGTTGGGTCCTCGTTTTGAAGAGACAGCGCCCCGCGTTCCTTCCATCCTTCCTCTCCTCGTCCTTCCTTCCGTCGTCACCATCATCATCATCATCATCATCATCATCATCATCATCATCATCATCATCATCATCATCATCATCATCATCATCATCATCATCATCATCATCATCATCATCATCATCATCATCATCATCATCATCATCATCATCATCATCATCATCATCATCATCATCATCATCATCATCATCATCATCATCATCATCATCATCATCATCATCATCATCACATCATCACCATCATCATCATCACCATCATCATCATCATCATCATCATCATCATCATCATCATCATCATCATCATCATCATCATCATCATCATCATCATCATCATCATCATTGCCGTCATCACCATCCGTTTTGGCACACCCTTCACACGTTTCGTGACCCCATAGGGAGCTCCACCGAAGGCCCCATCGGCGACGTTCCCATGCGTCCCCGCCACCCATTTTGGCACACCCCTCACACGGTTTGTGGCCCCATAGGATGCTCCATCGAAGGCTCCAGTGGCGACGTTCCCATGCGTCCTCGCCGCCCATTTTGGCACACCACTCACACGGTTCGTGGCCCCATAGGGAGCTCCACTTGAGGCCCCAGTGGCGACGTTCCAAGCGTCCCCGCATTCATGTTGGCACACCCTTCACACGTCATGTAACTTCACACGGAGCTCCACCGAAGGCCCCAGTGGCGACGTTCCCATGTGTCCCCGCCACCCATTGTGGCACACCCCTCACACGGTTCGTGGCCCCATTTAGGATCTCCACCGAAGGGTCCGGTGGCGACGTTCACATGCGTCCCCGCCACCCATCTTGGTACACCCCTTTTGCGGTTCGTGACCCCATAGGGAGCTCCACCTAAGGCTCTGGTGGCGGCGTTCCCATGCGTCCCCACTCCCATTTTGGCACACCACTCACGCGGTTCGTGGCCCTACAGGGAGCTCCACTTAGGCCCCAGTGGCGACGTTTCCATGCGTCCCCGCCACCCATTTTGGTATACCCCTCACACGGTTCGTGACCCCATAGGAAGTTCCACCGAAGGCCCCATCGGCGACGTTCCTATGCGTCCCCGCCGCTCATTCTAGCCCACCGCTCACACGGTTTGTGGCCGCATAGGGAGCTCCATCGAAGGCCCCAGTGGCGACGTTCCCATGCGCCCCCGCCACCCATTTTGGCACACCATTCACACGGTTCGTGGCCCCATGGGGAGCTCCACCGAAGGCCCCATCGGCGACTTTCCCATGCGTCCCCGCCACCCATTTCAGCACACCCCTCACACGGTTCGTGGCCTCATAGGAAGCATCATCGAAGGCCCCTGTGGCGACGCTCCCATACGTTCCCGCATGTCCCCGCCACCCATGTTCGGCACGCCCCCCACACGTTTCGTGGCCCCACTAGGAGCGCCACCGAAGACGATATTCACAATTGCGGTATTCACATCTGCGAATGGTTGGTTCCTTCACCAGTTTTTTTTGTTGTTGCTTTTGTTTTTCCTCTCTCTCTCTCTTTCCCCTCTCTCTCTTTCGTTCTCTTTATGTATATGTAGATCTTTCCTTTCATGTATACATGTTTAGATGTATGTATATATGTATATAAGTATATATACAAACATATACACACACACACACACTACGCGGAACCCTGGTCCCCGAACAAAAGGCCTTTCGGACGCCCCGTGGCAGGGCCACCCAGAACTTTCAGGCCTTTCAGGGTCCCTGTCGAGGTGCCCAAAGGCTTCCAAAACGGTCCAACGCGGCTCCGAGACGTCCCAGGAGTGTTCCAAAAAAA